CCATATGGTGCAAATACACACAGAAGTCACTGGCACTCAGACTTCAGCAGAAGGCTCAAGGCTTGGGGGTTTGCTTTGAATCAGAAGCGGTGCCTTTCCAGTCTTTTCCTTACGGGTACGCCAAGCATCAACAAACAGCCAAAGAGGACATGGCTCCATCTGCCAGTGCTGACCAGAAAGTAAGGCCACTGGGATCAATGCAGCTATGCCAGGATGAAGCTGCTGCGAGCCTGAAGCAAGCCCTTTTCCATATGAACATCCTTCTCCCTGCCAGAGGATACTCATTTCACTTCTGCCACTGGATTTGAAGTATGAAGTAAAAAAAATAAAGGGGGGGGGGATGTTAGATGATCCCCTTATTTTAAGAGAATTAAAAAACAATTATTCCTTAAAAAAAAAAAAAGGGAAAATGATAAAATCTGTGTTTCTCGGGAATTATTTCTAGGCCAGAAGCACCCTGATCATCAGGCAATTAAACAGAGCATAAAGCCATAAAGCCATTTTGCTTCTGACTGTCCCTGCTATGGGACTCCACTGGACAGCAGGGTTCAGGACACAGTGCAGGCAGTGGCTTAAGCACAGGCTTTAGTCTTATAGACGTCAAGGAGCCCAAGGCAAAGCACAGGCACCAGTCCTGTCCTGATCGTGTGCGCTTCCCCGAATCGCAGCCCCAGTGCTTTCAAGTCAAATGGGATCGCTCTGTGAGTTTCCCTGCTCCTGCGCAATTACGTTCCCATGTAAGAGGGGAGGGAGCCAGTTAAGCGTAGATACGTAGTCCTTTTCAAATGCTTAATATTTCTAGCTTCACTGTAATTATAGCCTGCAGATAAAAATGGTGCTGAAGGTCAAACAAATCCTCCAGGAGAATATACTCTGCATGGAAACTGTTTTTTTACCTGGAAAGGTTGTATAAATACTGCAGATTGAGAACCTATAATTATCCATTAAAATTGCTCTGAGTCTACTGAATTCACGTGTGTCCATGTTCAACTTCTAGTCTCCTATTTATAATGTTTACATATGCCCAAAAATGAGCTCAGGCAAGAGGCAACTGATCAGAAACACATTTTTTCTGGACCGTTTCTGTGGCATTAGAGGGTGATGCTCTGCGGAGGACCAGCTCTGGGGCTGGGGCACTGGGCTGGGCTGTGCTACTGCCGTCCTGCAGCCGATGCCCTGCTTACCTGCCTCCAAAGGCAGGATTTGCTCCTCCATGCCCTTTGCAGACACATCCCCACGTTGCTCCCCAACACGGCAGGGCTGCAGCATCTCAGCCGTGGGAACCTCCCCGTCCAGGAAAGGCTTTCGCACCCCACTGGGGGCTCAGCACCTCCATTTGCAACTGCTCCGACGACTGCATCCCAAGCCTAGTCCCACTGTTTGGGTGCAATCCCTGAATCTGCGCGGGGGCAGAGAGGCAGCCCTCGCTGCCAGCACATGGGGATGTGAGTCCACCCTCATAAGGGAGGACTGGTGGCTTTTGCTCTGGAAATACTCCTCCGGGAGCAGTGAGCAATGTGACTGCCGAGTGCTGCAGCCGATACACTTGCCCAGGGTGGCAGCAGCACAGTTACCCACTGAGAGCCCCAGCCTGGCTCCGCTCCAGCCTTGCCCTGCTCATACGCATCCCCCCAGAGCAGACCTAGGCAGGGAGCAGCCCTCCCCTGTCCCCTTTAGAGATCTTTCTCCGGGGCAAGGGGAAAGAGGGTCCAACACCATCCTTTGCCCTCCTGTTGTCCTCTGGAGGTTGTTTGCCCAGTAAAGGAACAGATAATCTCTTAAAAGAGGGGCTGGCATGGGTATGAATACAAAGGGCCACACTGCTGGCAAGGGGCTGTGCTGGGCTCACCCCAGGGGGCTGAAGTTTGCTCTCCCACCCTGGGTGGGCATGGCAAGGGCGGCCGAGGGGCTCCTCGATGTATGCACACCCTCTCTCTCTCTGCCAAAAACCAAACATGCCTGTTTAGGGAGAGGCACCTGCAGCCGGGAGAGCCAGGACTGGTTCCCGCATGGGCAAAACCACAGACAGCATTGCTGCCAGCAGCAGCCTCTGTGCTCTCCCCGAATCCTCCCCATCCTCGTTTATTGTAGCGATCCAGGCTAGGAAACTGCAGCGACTGAGCCACAGCTTTTCTTGCCAGGGCTAGCGAAGCCGTCATGGGGTTCAGGGCAGAGCCCCAGCAGCGCACAGCACCCCAGCACTGGGGTCAGGGTAAAGCATCACGAGACCCAACCCGTCACCCTGCTCTCTGTCGGCCACCTCCAGACCTGAGGTGGGTGACGTCTGTCGTCTGTCTGTCCGTTCCTGGCAGCTGTGGCTGAACAAGAGTCACGAGAACTGGGGGTCACTGGTGTCGGCACCCCCTCAGACACAGTCCTGCAAGAGCAGGTCTCAGGCCACCCGCTCGGATGAGGCTCACAAGAGCCACCAGCCAGCAGGGACTGCCAGGAGCTATATATATCTTGCCTGGATTTGAACTGCCCACGAACCTCCACCACAAGTATTTGGAGGAAGGGGAGGGGGTAAAAGAAATGAAAACATTAAAAAAATTGTCTCAGCAGTGAGAAAAACTATCAAGCAACCAACAGCGATTGAAAAATGAGGTACTTCGAAAGCTTGGTAACTTTATAAATGACGCGGTGTTTCCAGAGCAAGCTGCTCCAGCGCTGCTCGTGCCAACCTCCTTCCCTCAACCGCCTGCTCCCGCTTTTATCTGTGCTAAAGCCGAAGGTCAGAGGAAAGCTGTGAGCCCTCCTTCCGACCCCTCCTCACCCGCTTGCTGCACCTCGCCCCCACAAATGCCAACAGTGAGAAAACCCACCGGCATGGACCTGCTCCTTCCTCTCCCCCACTAACCTCCATCTTAGAAAACCCCCCCCAGGTAAGGGTACATCGCACTTAATACATATTTACATTCACGCTGAGGTAGGGAGCTGGATTTTCCTCTCAGATACACAGATGTAAAGTCAGAGGAGCTCCACAAGTGTCAAGGGAGTTACACGAGACTTATGGGTACCATGTTCACCCCCCTGAGCTGCCGCTGGCTGCAGCCCGAGGATGCAGAGCAGACCTCAGCGAGGCGAGGATGGAAGGAGGCTGGGGGGGGGTTAGCCCAGCGAATATATCACTGTTATTGATGTGCACGGTTTACTCCCTGCTGATGTACTGTTTTCTTGGGGGGAGGGGGCTGTTGGACCCTCACCGAGGCTTTCCTGACCTTTGAAATCGTTTGGATCTACGTAGAGCTCTTTGAGGTGACCCCCTCTGCTCTGCCCTGGCTTGGCTCAGATACCCCTATGAAAACACCCCTGCAATGGAAGATGACTGGCTTCATACAGAAAAAAAAAAGTTTTCCAGCAAGGGTTTATCTCCCAAAAGCAAACTACCGTTGCTAATGAGCACTGATGTTTACACACCAAAACCTTGACTGCCAGTAAAAAACAAACCATCAAAAGCAAAATCTGTGCAAATACATCTCTGGTCTAAGCCAACCCAGCCACGAAGCCGAAGTTTGGTACCAAATGCCACCGAGGTGCAGCAGAGATGCTTCCCAGCGTCCAAAACACACCTTGGCATGGATGCAAGGCTGCTCTGATTTAAAGGCATAATTTATACTCAGCTCCTGAGTTACTAAAATCCTGTAGCCCTTTCAGCATGGGTGAAAGCACCCCACTTTACGTAGCAGTCTCCGAGGGTGGCATTCAGCTGTTTGCATGGGAAATGTCCGTTCCCAGCGGATCTGGGCTCCCTTAACGGTGGGGAAAGGCAGGCGCTCCGGGGCTGGAACTCGCTGGGAAATTGGTGCCAAAGGAAGGTATGGTGGAGCTTAGCGCTTTTATAGAGATTATTTTGAAAAAGAAGAACCCGAGCGAAATGGCTCTTCCCCGGGGAACTTGGGACCTTTGCTTCTCTCCAGACACACTGGGGACGGCTGTGTGACTCACGGGCTCAACACTGGGTGCCCAGTGTGCCTTGGAAATGGGGTTTTGTGCAGGAAAGGGAGGGGACCCACCGGCTGGTACCTCCTGCAGGACATCGGCAAAGGGTGGCAGTGCCCGTGCCAGCGCTTCAGACCACGCAGAGCCATGACATCCCCACCTAACACCTCGCAGGGCTGTTCCCATCTCCATCGAGAGCACGAGCTCTACTTCAGACCTGACTCTCGCTTTAGCCTCCAGTTATGGGGACCATCTTTCCTGTCCCCAACGGCAGACTCACAAATCTCTCTGCACTGCAAACGGGCCTGGACCAAATGATTTCAACCTCCCATGGCCACGGGTTCTCCACCCCCTGCCTTCTCCTGAGGATCCCTCGTTTTCCCCCCAGCAAACCCAGGGCAGTGATTTGAAGGCAGACAGAAAAACTCCTTTAACTCAAAGAAAAGAGCATTCCCACCTCCCCTCCGTCCCACCGCCGCCGCCCGAGGGAGAGGCTGGTCCGA